GCGAACAAATGATAATTCTCCTCTCCCAGGACTTCCGGAGGGTTTCCCCCCTCCCCAGGGGTAAGGTATTTAAGGCTCTCTTGATGGCTCTGGAGTCCAGAAGATTTGGCATTCAAACAAGATTAGACTGTAGCGGTAAAGCGCTCTCAGCAGCTCAGCCAATGCTCGGCTTTGTAGAGTTTCTCACAGAATTCGGAGTTCAGCAGTTCCTGGGCAGCTTGGACTTACTGTCTTGCCTCAAGAATTAGTCTGACCTCCTAGTGACCTTCGGCCCTGAGGACCAGCTGCTTTTCCAGAGCTTGTTGGCTGGTGACCACCTGGAAATCCGTGTGCTCCGAGCTGGGAGGGGCCTTGAAGAAGGCAGTGCCTTTATTGGCTTGTCCAGGCAGCGCCACGGTTGATCCAGTGTAGGGGCAGAGGAGGGTAGAACGGCTCCTTCCTGCTTCCACTCACGCTAGTCGAGGCCACTGGACTGAACCAACCAACCTGCGCCATGTTTCACCTCTGCCAAGGGCCCCAACAGAGCCCTCGTTTGGCTCGGTCCCCCCCTCCCCCCCGTGTTATCTCCGGCACGGGTCCGCACCATCTGCGGGCCCAGCCCTCCGCCCCCGTGTGACCTGCTGCATTCCGGGAAGGAGATGGAAGTGATTCACTCAGGGAACTGTGACCGTCCCTTCCCAGGGAAGGATGCTTCAGGGAGACCCCAGTGGTCCTTCCCCCGAGGCCGCGCCCACCGCCCCACGCGTCCCAGGGTGGCCCGGCCGGCTTGCGCGGAGGAAGAGGCAGGTGCGTGCGTCGGCCGCCCGTCGGGGGTCAGTCCTCCACCTGCCGCCAGCGCCGGGCGCCCGGGAGCCCTGCGGCTCCCCGCCCTCTGCTCTTTGTTACAGCCCGACTTCCTGTTTGTGGTCGCCGACCCCGGCTCACTTCCAGGGCCGGGAAGCCGCCGAAGGCCGCGAGTTTCTCGGAGACACTCCCACTGGGGCCCTCCCCCGGCCTCCTCCGACTCCCGTTCCTCTCCTCCCCCGGGAGCCCGCGCTGGGCGGGAGCCGCGGGAAGCGGGAGCCTTGGGCGGGCGTCGCGGCGGGACGGCAGGGCGGTCGCCGGCCACTAGAGGGCGCCGAGCGCCTGTCCAGGCTGCTGTCCTGCTGGAGGCTCAGGAGACCGCCCCCGGGGGCAAAGCTGGGGACCTGTCCTGGCGTCCTAAATCAGCTTGCGTCTCTGTCCCGCAGAGATCAGTCTCTGCCGCTAAGCTCAGGGAGTACTGAAAGGAGCCCAGCGCTGTGCTTTCCTCCAAATCCTGTCCTGGTGTTCGGAAAGCAAGGTTCCTTCACCTGCTGAAGCCAGCTCTGCCGAATTCCCACCAGCTTCCAGCCACCTCCTGCAGGTGGTCATTCTGACCCGAATGGGAGAAAGAAGGCCTGAAAGGGTTAGAGCTAGTGGCTAAAACTAACTCCCAGCACCACCGCTTCTCATTAGCAAGTGATCCCGGGACATCCATTTCTTGAACACTCTTTTAATCCCTGTATCATATGTAGGCCGGACACTGGTGGCAAAGAAGAGTTACTTATCTGAAGAGACTAAACCAATCTGGAAAGGCTAACCATTCAGTTCTTGGTTGATTGACTGATCGATCGATTGACTGAGACAGGACTTAGCTTAGGCTGGCCTTGAATTCTGCAAGCAGCCAAAGATGACCTCGTCTTGGAGACAGGATACAGGGGTGAATCCAGTTGAAGCCACTTGTCATAGGGAGATCCCGTTGCAAGCTGCTGTGACTCCAGGATTGTGTCCTACGAAGGACAAGAAATGATACCTGGGGACTCCAGAGCTGAACACCGGAACAAGTCAGCCGTAGTGGTGCACACTTTTAATACAGCACCTGGACAAAGAGGGACTGAGCTCTAGGCCACAATGGTCTTCACAGCAAGCTCCAGGACAGCCAGAGCTCTAGAGAGAGACTGTCTCAAGGAGCCCAAACAATGAGAGAGAGGGACAGAGAGACTCCTGAGGGGTTTCAAGAAAGGACGCTTGCTGCTCAGGTGAGGAGGGCTATGCGCTTTTAAATGGTGACAGAGCGAAGAAAATAATAGTAATAACCTATCTTCTGCTCCTGCCCAAGATGACGAATTTCTTTCCTGGCATTAGAGCTCCACTGAGAAATACTACAGTTACCGAACAGTCGTCAAGGGGAATGTCTTTGGTCCATGAAGCACCTGCAGGCAGAGCGGCTTTGATCCATGCAGCAACCATGATGACGTCAGTCCATGACAACGTCAGTGCTTTTCAGATGGCTGGTGTCAGAGGCTTCCCTGGGCCCTGACTACCTAACGTACCCCGTGTTTCCTGTCTCAGTCCCTTCTTGGAACAGGTGACCCGAAATTACTTTGAGAGGGGGTAGGTGAAAGATCCATCTCAACTTGTACGGATGTAATACAGATCCCAAACCAGAATACATAAAGCACATATTAAGATCGAACAAACTAATACAAACCAAAGTCATTAATATCGTGTATGATGGAAAGGACCAGATCTAGTGTGTTCTTTCTTTAGGACCTAACCTTGCCAAGAACCTTGAGCCGTGTTATTATCCATTAAAAAAAAAAAAAAAAAAACAAAAACTTTTCAATGTCATCTTTGGTTTTTGATAGACGTTTGTCTCTTCCCCCAAGTCCACATTGTTTACTCAGAAGGCACGGGTCTCATTAATAAGACAACAAATGTCACCCACCTGAGCACTGAGAAAGTCTCAGGCTTTTGTTTGTTTGTTTTCATTGTGTGTGTAAGGGTGTTTACCTCCACGTATGCCTGTGGACTGCGGATGGGCCTGGTGCTTGCAGAGGCCGGAAGATGGTGTCTTCCCCAGGGACAGAAGTTACAAATGGTTGTGAATAGTCATGTGGGTGCTGGGAATCAAAGGCCTGTCCTTTGAAAAAGAAGCCAGTGCTCTTTGTTTGTTGTGCTTTTCAAGACAGGGCTTCTCTGTGTAGCCTTGGCTGTCCTGGACCTGTTTTGTAGACCAGGCTGGCCTCAAACTCACAGAGATCCACCTGCCTCTTCCTCTTCTGAGTGCTGGGATTAAAGGCGTGCAGCACCACACTTTAAGTTAAGCCAGTGCTATTTTATTTTGTTATTTTATTTTATCTTATTATCTGGTGTTGTTGTTTTGAGGTTTTTTGAGACAGGGTTTCTCTGTGTAGTCTTGGCTGTCCTGGACTCACAATGTAGATCAGGCTATAAACCAGTGCTCTTAACCACTGAGCCGTCTCTCTTGTCCAGCCCTCCAAATTTGTTTTTATGTATATATAATTTGTTTAATGTGCATTAGTGTGAGGGTGTCGGACCCCTTGGAACTGGAGTTACAGACAGCTGTCCTGGGAATAGAACCTGGGTCCTTT